CATCTAGTGGATCACAATTATAATCGTATAATAAATTATTGATCGATCTTGTTAGAACAAAAATTACAACTTGGAAATTGTCGTGAACTAGAAATTAATCAGAAATTGTTTTAATCTGATTGCAATATTTGTCTGTACTGCCAGTATAGTTCTAATAAATAATATAATTATGTTATACATAGACAGTAGAAAAAAATATAGTTATAATATACATATATGAACTCCATTTATTCGATCAATTTTTTTAATCGATAAACTCTTGCTGATTGCATTCACTTATTTGAATTTATACTTTTATTATGTGAACAAAGAAAATCACCAGTAGAAAGGAGAATCAATAAACTCCAATATTAGACGAAACAATTCGTACCCTGAGAAATTCACGTGTGCGTGAAGTTTCTGTAACTCGACAGCTTCTTCGTTGCTTTGGATCGTCGCTTCACGAATCGAACAATCATCGCGGCCTTCTTTCGAGTTGACAAACACGCGTTTTGCAGTTGGAAGACGCGAATAACGAACCTACATAACGTTGCCTGTGGTTAACGTTTAAGATATGCGTTAAGAGGGAGAGGAAGTGAAAGGAAACGGTTGGGGGGGAGGGAGGGAGGGGAAAAAAAAAGAAAAAAATCGTTGGCGCGGCACCAGTGGGCCACCGCTAATGCGATCCAAATTAATTTCACGTAATTGGGGATACACGGGGATACGCGTCGTCCTGGCTACCCGTCTTACCCTAATAGGAATAAAATAAGCCCTTGTGCAGCAGTTAGCGCTCCGGCTCGCTCCTACATAATTGCAGCGTCGGCTGACCAACGCCGGAAATAAGCAAACGCGATTAAGCCCCGGGCACGCTGTCACGCTTCTCGGGTTTTGCCTTCGACGACGACGAAGTAAGGCCCCTAGCAAATTACACACCGTGCCATGGTCCGAGTGCCGAAAATTCGTCCGGTAATGGAGACGAGACGAGTCAGTCAGCCTGGAGACAGTTCGCCGCGAGTGTTTTACGCACGGCACGAAACTCTTCCATGCAATTGGGAATGAAATTTCGTCGACCGTTTACGATCTCTTGTGACAGAACACGATAGAGTTTTATCACAGAGAATTTTTTATTTGGATCATGTGTGAATGTCGAATATTGTAGCGAGGGTTGTGTTGTAACAGTATCGTTGTAATAATTATTCTACACGTTACTAATCTTCGTAATAAAAATATTTTCGAAACATTATTATTATTCGAAACAAATTTAGAAACTCCAGAAAGATTTATCTCTTATTGTTATCTTGTGCAAATTTTATTATAATGACGTAAAATTCGCTAGTTTATATTTTGAAAATTATCGTCCACTGTAAAGGATTTAGTTTGACTTTATGCACGATTATGTATTATGTGCAATTTCTCACGAAAATATTTAAACGCGTATGAATGGCATTTTATTAATAATATAAAATAATTATGATCATGTTGAACAAATCGAATAGAAATTAGAAGATTAATACAAGTAGGCATATTTCACAATGAACACCGAAATATTTGAACAATTAGAACTGTTATTTCAGTAAGTCTCAATACTATCTTTAATACCTATTTGCTTAAACTCTATTTTTAACTTATTCTTAATATAATATTTTGTAACTTCTGTACATTTCCAGATTGGTCTCAGAATCGATTTAATCATAATAATCATTTGTCATTACAGTTTTAAGGATGTTTGAAATTTCTTTATGTAATACACATAATATAGATGTACAGGGTGTAGTGAAGAATGATTCAGTGTGAAAAAACAAATCGAAAAGAAAGAATAAAATCTTTTCATTTAAAGTTTTCGTCTCTGAGAAAATCGAAATTTTAAAGATTTATCAACTATAAATTTGGCTAATTCTGAATCGACTAGCAAAGGAGATTATTTTATCAGCGAAAATAAGTAAAAACCGTAGAATACAATTTTTTTTATGAGACGCTTTGTTTTCGGGAAAATTCAATTAGAAAATGTATCAAGTACGCGACTATTAATTGTAAACTCATTTTCCCAGGTAGAATAATCTTCTGCCGATTATTAACTCCAGTATAATTCAGAATTAGTCAAATTATTTCAAGTACAAAATTGTTTTCTCGAGCTTTTGTTCCCTCTTTTCGACTTATTTTCTCACGCGGAGGTTTCATCTGTATCATCTTGTCGCATAAAATACTTTGTCTATTACTTTCGCGAGTCACTGTAACACGAAAAGGCTAAGTTTTCCGTTTCGGATTTTCTCACGAGGGAATATCACGATGGAAAGTTTCGGTACGAAGCTCGGTTACATTATTTAACTATCGCGATTAGAGATACGTCGTTGGGCCGTTTGCTTGTTTAGCCGCAAGATGCGAAACGCGATCAAAACGATTTACGTAAGTGTGCGTATGCAAATGGGAATGTAAATAAGCAAACATAGGAGGTGGATGGGATCTCTATGTAGGCATTAACCCGATCACCGAGTGTGCCTTGAAATATTCATCGTCGCGTGAAAAACAACTGGCAAGGGCCTGAGTCTCTCGTTTAAAGAGCAATCTGCCCCTGTACGCGTTACTCGCGGGGAGAATGGATCGATGAGACGAACTCGCGAACAGTGGTCTGATTACCCGCGAGAGGGAAGAGACTGGCAGAGCAGACACACCTTCTTCCTTTCGTTTTCGTCTAACGACCGAGTTAATTCCAATCGCTATCTACGATCGCTTCCGGCTCCGTCGTCGTTAAGTTTCGCGAACTTACAAAGAAAGTGCTAATTTGAGAATTCAATTAAATTTTACACCAGCAACAGCGAAAGATAATGACTGGTGGAAATAATGAAGTTCGCTAAATGTCCGCGAATTGATTCGCGGGCAGACCAAAGCGATCGAAACGTTTCTTCTCCTCTTGCTCGGCTCGATAACATCTATAACCTTATGAATACTAACGAACTTATTACCAGGAGAAGGATAGAACATAGAACGAAGAGAGAAGAAAGAGAGGCTGAAGCGTTAAATTTAGTATAATATATTTTCCATATAATAATTCTCGCTATACAGACATTATTTTACAAAGCATGATTTATACTATGTACTTCTTGCTGCTTTTACTTAACGTTAAGTCACACGATACCGCGAAACTCTCTCCGATCGCGTCTCCACGAATTTACAACAAAAAAAAAAAAAAAAAAAA